TTTTGCTTTGTAACACATTAAAAATAAGTGTCTATATTGTTTTAAATCCAGTAATAAATTGTCTTACCCTGCTCTGTACATGCTCAGTTGCGCTCTGTTTTTTGGCACAGTGCAGAAAATATAGAGGCCAATCTGCTGACGGCGTAAAGATTTACTGCAGCTCAGGGGCTCTGGGCTTCAGCAAAATGGCAGCCTCCAGCAAGAAGAAACAGGAACAATGCTGGAGGCAATCTACAACACACACTCATTTTGGTAGCATAATTATTAGTGTGGAATGTATGCTCCTTGCTAAAGAAAATTATTTTTTATCAAGTTGTTATGGATAAAGTTCCGCTTTAAGAGGTAACTCCACTTTTGTGGGAAAAAATAGCAAATACACAAAATAATATATCATATATAATTGCTACACAGGTGATATTGTAATTGAATGTTATTAAAAATTAACTTTTAACTCACCTGTATCTTACACAATAATTCTAAGAAATTCGATACCACATGGGGACCGTGGATTCACTACCTCTCTGTGCCTTAATGACCCTCATCTTGATTTTCCTTTCTATTCTATTCTTTGCTTTTTCTACTCCTTTTATATTGCTCTATATTATGCATATTGTGCTGGCAAGATGAGCTGTACTTGATTATGTATTGGTCACCATTTACGTCTTGACTTCACTACCATTTGTTATGGCATAATTTGTTGTTTTGGTGTTTCTATCTGTGTACAGTATATGATGGCACACTCTTTATTGATGTTAATTGTTTAACCACATGTCGCCCAGCCACTGTATAAATATGGTGGCTGGGCGGCACGGCTGGGCAAAAGCACGTTTTAAAACGTGCGTTTTGTAAACAGATGTGAGGCTCGCCGCCGCCCTACCTGTTCCGCCGATCACAGCCGCGGATGTCAGTCGCCGGGTCACAGCTGGTCATTACCGGCTGTGTATATTCAGAACAAATGGTGTATTTATATTTGTGTGTATGTTGAGCAGTCCTCACCTCCAGTTGCACCCAGTTTACGACTGTAGCCTGGTTCCTAAGAGACATCCCCCACTATTCATGTGAGCCTTATCAGCTTCTAATTGGGGTGGAGTTGAATGCTCATTTGAGCATCTCCCTATAAATTTAGATCAGCTCACGGGGGGAGATCTCTGATGGGGGGCACAGTCTCTGATGGGGGTGCTGCTTCTGATGGAGTGCGGCTTCGAAAGAGTGCGAAGCAGTTCGGCTTCGAAAGAGTGCGAAGCAGTTTAACTGCTGTGTTTAACTGCTGTATTTAACACAGCAGTTGAACTTAAGCAGCAGAAAGACACAACAGCAAGAAACTCTACTGCACGCTGGACAGACTGCAAGCAAACACCCTGGGAAACATCTCTTACATGCCTGAGTCCCACTCTGTGTACCTTTTATATAATACACTCCTCTCTTCATATTGCTATCCTCTGTTCCCAAATCTCATTTCTTTACCCCTCTGCTCCACCCCAAAACTTGCACATCTCCCCCTCATTGCTATTATCTCCCTACTACTGCTCTCATCACCCCCCCAAAATGCCTCTTCTACTCCTCCTTCATTTTCCTCTCCTCCATTCCCCAAAATCCATTCACTATATCCCTCTGCTCCTCCTAAACATTTGTATATTGTGTCCTCACTGCTTCCTTCGCCCCTCTATGGCACCCACCACCTCCTCCTATTATTCCACTCTCCCACTGACCCGAACACCTCCACTACTAGTTTCTCACGCTCCTGCACATCCCGCTCCCATGCCACCTTTCTCACCCTTCTCCTCCTCCTAGCCGCGCGGGAGACATCTCCCCGAATCCTGGCCCTCCACCACCTCCCTCACCCGCACAACACCCTCCCGCCTCCATGTCCTGCCGCAACCCCCGCAACCTAGTATCTGTCCCCCTGCTCCCTAAAATCTCCCCCCCGTTTTCATGTGCACTCCTGAACGCCCGATCGGTGTGCAACAAGCTTACCGCCATCCACGACCTCTTTGTTTCCCGCTCCCTCAACCTCCTGGCGATCACGGAAACCTGGATCCAGCCCACTGACTCTACCTCCCCTGCTGCACTCTCCTATGGAGGTCTCACCTGGACCCACTCACCCAGACCTAACGGTCGTAAAAGGTGGTGGGGTTGGTCTGCTCCTGTCACCGCAGAGCACCTTCCGAGTCCTCCCAAACCCCCCCTCCCTATCCTTCTCCTCCTTTGAGGCCCACTGCGTCCGACTATTCTCCCCAACCCCCCTGAAGATTGCTGTGATATACCGGCCTCCTGGATCCATACCCTGCTTCCTTGATGACTTCTCCTCCTGGCTACCCTTCTTCCTCTCCTCTGAGCTACCCACCATCATTCTTGGGGATTTCAACATCCCTGTCAACCTTGACAACCCGGACACAGCCCGTCTCCTCCACTTAACCTCCTCCTTTGCACTTGCACAGTGCATACAATCCACCACCCACTCCGACGGTAATATCCTTGATCTTGTCTTCTCCAACCGCTGCGCTCCCCACAACCTCACTAACACCCCCTTCCCTCTCTCTGACCACAACCTGATCACCTTCTCTATCTCCTCGTCCTCCAACACCTACCCCTCCAAATGTCACACACTACTACCAGCCGTAACCTCCGCAACCTTAACCCTGCCCCCCTCCACTCTGCAGCTGATCAACTCCACGACCGCATCCTCCCCCTGTCCTGCCCCGACTTGGCTATGACTGCCTACAACAACGCGCTGTCAGCAGCCCTTGACTCACTAGCGCCTTTAACCACACGCAACATCAGACTCCGACCGCTCCAGCCCTGGCAGACTGATCACACCAAAACCCTCAAACGACGCAGTCGTGCCCTGGAGCGACTATGGCGCAAAACAAAATCCCAACAAGCTTTCACCTGCTGCTACAAATCTGCCTTCCGCACCTACACCTCCTCCCTCCACGCAGCCAAACAAGCCTACTTCCTGACCCTCATCAAGGCCCTCTCCTCCAATCCTCGCCGACTCTTCTCCACCTTCAACTCTCTACTCTCTCCACCCCCACCTCCACCCAGCACCTCACTCACCACCCTTGAGATTGCCAATCACTTCAAAAACAAGATTGACACAATTCGCAAGGACATTGCCGCAAACTCACACGCCCCCTCTCAACCCGTCCCCTCTCTCACACAGCTACCCCCTCATTCCCCCTCCCCCTCGACATTACCCCTCAGGGACTTCGTCACTGCTCAAACTCCCTCCTACCCCGTTCCCCCTCACTCAGCTACCCCCTCATCACCCCCTCCCCTCTCCCACGGCCCCACCACTGCTCTGACCTCCACTCCCACCCCACCCTACATTCCTCATACTGAAGCTCCCCCAACACTCCACATCTTTGACCTTACTACCATCGACGAAGTCTCCAAGATCCTCTCTGATGCCCGCCTCACCACCTGCCCCCTCGACCCTATCCCCTCACAATTCCTACGACCTCCCTCCCCCTCCATCCTACGCTCCCTCACCCACATCTTTAATCTCTCCCTCTCCTCCGGCACTTTGCCCTCCCCACTGAAGCATGCACACATCACCCCCATACTTAAAAAGCCCTCCCTGGACCCCAATGACCCGAACAACCTCAGACCCATCTCCCTGCTCCCACTTACATCTAAACTCCTCGAGCGCCTCGTCTACACCCGCCTATGCTCTCACCTCAACAACAACAACCTCCTCGATCCCCTACAGTCTGGCTTCCGCCCCCTACACTCCACCGAAACCGCCTTACTCAAACTCTCCAACGACCTTCTAACCGCCAAAGCTAATGGCAACTATTCAGTGCTCCTACTCCCTTGACCTCTCTGCGGCCTTCGACACAGTTGACCACCCCCTCCTCCTCAAAATACTACACTCCCTCGGCCTCAGAGATTCTGCTCTCTCCTGGCTCTCATCCTACCTGTCACAACGCTCTTTCAGCGTTACCTATAATGCTACCACCTCCCCCTCACTCTCCCTCTCTGTTGGGGTCCCTCAAGGCTCTGTCCTTGGGCCCCTTCTCTTCTCCATCTACACCTCCTCAATTGGCCAACTCATACACTCTCACGGCTTCAACTACCACCTCTATGCCGACGACACACAAATCTATCTCTCAACCCCCTACCTCACCCCCTCGGTCTCTGCCCAAATCACACACCTACTGAGCGACATATCAGATTGGATGTCGCTCCACTTCCTTAAACTGAATCTCTCCAAAACCGAGCTCCTTGTCTTCCCCCCAGCCCGAACCCCACCCCCCATTGACTTCTACATCACATCCAACAACGCCAATATCAAACCCGCTCTGCAGGCCAGAGTACTTGGTGTCATTCTGGACTCCAACCTATCCTTCCAGCCCCAAGTCCAATCTTTAACAAACTCGTGCAGACTCCACCTCCGCAACATCGCCAAAATCCGCACGTTCCTAACCCCAGAAACCACTAAACAGCTCATCCACTCCCTCATCATATCACGACTCGACTACTGCAACTCCCTCCTCACTGGCCTGCCTCGCCGCTGGCTATCCCCGCTTCAGTCGATCCTGAATACGGCTGCCAGACTCATTCACCTTTCCAACCGCTCCATTTCCGCCACCCCCCTCTGCCAATCCCTCCACTGGCTTCCGATTGCGCAACGGATCAAATTTAAAATCCTAACACTGACGTACAAAGCTGTCCACCATAGTGCCCCGAACTACATCACTGACCTAATATCCAAGTACCGCCCAGCACGCACACTCCGCTCCTCACAAGACCTCCTTCTCTCTAGTTCCCTGGTCTCCTCCTCCCATGCCCGCCTCCAGGACTTTCTCCAGGGTGTCACCCATCCTCTGGAACTCCCTTCCCCAACCCATCAGATTATCACCTACTCTCCTCTCCTTTAGGCGTACCCTGAAAACCCATCTCTTCAGGGAAGCCTACCTCACCCCCTGCTAACTTGCTGACCTCCTCCACTCTTCCCACCACTCCATCCCCCACAGCTATCTCCTCCTGTACCACCATCCCCTCCCTCCTAGATTGTAAGCTCGAAAGAGCAGGGCCCTCAATCCCCTCATGTTTTGCATTGTATTGGTATTGTTCTGTCACATGTTCTGTCCCCCTTTGTAATGTACAGCGCTGAGTGAACTATTGGCGCTTTATAAATACTGTATAATAATAATAATAATGTCCCGGCGATCAGCGGCAGTCGCTGACAGAGAGCACAGCTGCAGTGCCATTAGTACAGTGTCAGTGTTTTTTTTTTTGCACTGATCACTGTATTGGTGTCACTGGGGATGTCAGTGACCCCAAGTCAGTACCCCCCAATGTCAGAATGTCCGCCGCAGTCCCGCCATAAGTCGCTGATTGCCACCATAAGTACTGATCGCCACCATAAGTCGCTGATCGCCGCCATTATTAAACGCTATAACTTTCATGTAAACCAATTAATTTACACGTTTTGGGTTTTTTTTTTAGCAGACATGTCGCAGAATGCATTTTGGCAGAAATTTATGACTAAATTTGATTTTGAAATTTTTTTTACTGGACATGTTTTATAGCAAAAAGTCCAAAATATTGTTTTTTTTTCCTCAAAATTGTCAGCCTTTTTTTTTATAGCGCAAAAAATAAAAACCGCACAGGCGATCAAATACCACCGAAAGAAAGCTCAATTTGTAGGAACAAAAGGATGTAAATTTCATTTATGTACCGTATTGCATGACCGCGCAATTGTCCATTAAACTAGCGCAGCGCTGTATAGCAAAAAAATTGTGTAAATTGCAGTATCTATACCATAGTTTGTAGACGCTATAACTGTCACACAAAGCAATCAATATACACTTATTGGGATTTTTTTTTACCAAAAACATGGAGCAGAATACATTTTGGCCTAAATTTATAACTAACTTTGAGTTTACTAAATATTTTTTTATAGCTGAAAGTAAAAAATATTGTTTTTCTTCAAAATTTTTGGCCTTTTTTTGTTTATAGCGTGAAAAATAAAAAGCGCACAGGTGATCAAATACCACCGAAAGAAAGCTCTATTTGTGTGAAAAAAAGGACATGCATTTCATTTGGGTGCAGCATTGCATGACTGCACAATTATTAGTTGAATTAGTGCAGCGCCGAGTAGCAAAAAGAGGCCTGGTCATTAAGGGGGGTAAATCCTCTGCAGGTCAAGTGGTTAATACTGCCCTATTTCCTTTGTAAAATTATTCAATAAAAACTATTGAAAAGTAAAAATTAACTTTTATTTTCAATCTGCAGTGCTATAATTTTCTGTAAAATGCAATGTAATATCTAAACCTGGAGGCATTCTATACACAGATGTAAAATGTAATTTCCTGCTTGTGTGATTGGCTTATTGACTTTCCCAGAAGTCTGCACTAAAATAGAAGTTGGATTTTGGGCATCCTCTGCATCAAAAATGTTGTTTTTGGTGCGATACTCCCAAAGGGAAGTCATGTCTAAAGCAATGCAGATCCTGCCACTTTCCTCAGTAGAGCCCTGCAAGTGATATAAAATCACTCTCAATTACATTAATTTTGCACATTCTTGCAATGTACATAGATCTCCCAGGGGGGAATTTTTTTTTCCTCAGCAAAAGTGGAATTGCTATTTACCATATTGTAATATAAAGCACCCTCACCCTGCAGCTTTACACTAGGTACCCTGTTGATCCACAGCTTTCCTTTGGTGGCCCTGCCCACTGCCTCAGTGTGCTGACGTAACATTCCAAAATACCCAAACTTCGGTATCAAGATCCAATGTTGTTTTAGGATTGTAAAGTATGTTGCATCTCTCATTTTCCGGTAACACATTTTATTATACATGAGCTTTTTACTAATCAACTTACTAAAACCATCCTAGAAACATCAAAAAGCCCTAGAACTGTATGTTTATAAACTAAGGGCTTCTGTACACAGGCTCTCTTCAGATGGATTGGCTAACCAGATCATCCCTAATGCCCTGAGTAGACAGACCTAAATGGACCTATTTGTTTTGTGTCATAAGAATTTTAACCACTTACCTACCAGGCCAATTCTGACATTTTTTTGTCATACATGTACAAATCAGCATTTTGTTGCTATAAAATGACTTAGAACACATGTGCATAGGGAAAAGAGTTCCCCCAAAAAGGTAGTTCCATATGGGACCATGCAGCTTAATCAAAAGGACTTTATTAGAAAAAACAAATGTGCATTGCACAAATATACACACAGAAGCTGGGCACACCACCGCCATCACTCCACCAAATTACAAAGACTACGTTGTCTAGTCACCTTAGCAGCTGCTCATTCAACCTCAAACATCCACACTAGGAGGGTGAGAAGAGCTAATGGTACAATGTGAACACATGGGATAATGGACCAAAATATTGAATATAGGAGTATAATTAGTTATCCCTCAACACTGTCCCATGTGTTAACAATAGGAGTCAGATTGGAGACCGGTTGTGCTGTAGCCGTGTGTGATGAGTAATTACAGATCTCTTGAAAGTCCTGTTACATTTGTAAACTGAGGCTTACTGGTCAGTAGCAATCCGGGTAGAAATGTCCCATTAGTAAGCCAATTTAGGCCATATAGTATTGCAACATACTCTCCATAAGCACACAATTATCATAGTAGCCAGATTGATAAACAGCAGTATATATACACAGTTTATTAGCTTCTCACCATCCCCTTAGTATCCACTGAGCTTAGTTCTGGCAAGCTACGAGTAGTTCCAGGACAGTGTCACTAGATGGCGTCAGGATCCATTTCTCATATGCTGTCCAGCGTCAGCCATAATGGAAGTTCAGTCCCGTCTACTGTAAGGCTGGAGGTGCTGGATGCCCAAGCGTGTGATGTGGGTCGGATGAGGCGGCTGCAGAACGCGGTTACAGGGATGTACCCTGAAGAAGTCCAAGCTCATTGGGTGAAACATTGGACTGCACCTCCCTATGCATGCCTTGTGCGTGACATCACTGCGTTCTGCGGCTGCCTCATCTGACCTCCATCATACGTTTGGGCATCCAGCACCTCCAGCCTCAGGGGACTTTGATATAAAGGGGGGCTCTGCAATAACACTAGCAATAAACTGTCCAAAATGTCCTCTTCTCTCTCCACACATGGGAATGGGAAGTGATGACATAGGATGTGGTGTGAATCTGTACATAAAAAATGCACATGAAAAAAACAGATGTCAACGTGCATAAAAACAAATGGTGTAAACCAGGGTCTCTGCAAGTGGAATCTGCACGTTTTTTTCACCCTGCACTTTTTTCTGCACGTATGGCTTGAACTAGGCCTGAAAGACATCTTCGGATGGTGGCATTGTGCTTGCATGTCAGTCCATTCTCTAATGTTCAAGGATACTTTAGGGTTTACAACTATAAGCAAAAGCTTTTTCTTCATTTTGGATAGAGCAAGGGAGGGTTATAACCCCATCAGAATTTTTCTTTTTCGCCATCTGTGTCCCAATGTGGAGATTTCCCTTCAGTTCCTGTCATTACGAAACAAATGAAGAGAATTCCTTACGAACTTCCAGGTCACAAGAACTAGTGTCCCAATTGTGAGATTTCCCCTCTTACTTTTCTGGGGGCAAAAAAAAATCTGGGGTTTTCTTTTACTTTCATTGATAGTGGTAAACAGGTCAAAAAGAGAGGGTGAAGCTCCCTAATGGGGGCACAGACAGCAATAAAACCCGACAAGCTTTCTAATCCATATCCACTCTATCCAAAACTTAAAACTGTTTTCCCGCCACCCTATAGCAGATATACTGCTACAGGGCAGCAGGGGTGTGCAAAATCACGTATGTATACATGATTTTGCATTTCCGGGCTATTCACAGTCTCGGCTGTCAATCGCTGGCTCCGGGACGGTGATTACTCACCAGCACCCGGTGATCGCCGAGCATTACCGACGGGGGGGGGGAGAGAACTGTATGTAAGCAATACAGTTCTCTCCCCTGTCAGCTCCTGCACATTGCTTTGTATGGCTGTGCATAGCAGAGCCATACAAAGCAGTGTGCTTACCATGGAAAACACACACACACCTCTTCACACTAACCCCTTCCTGCCCAGTGCCATTAGTACAATGTCAGTGCTTTTTATTAGCACAGATCACTGTATTGGTGTCACTGGGGATGTCAGTGACACCAAGTCAGTTCCCCCCAGTGTCAGAATGCCCGCCGCAGTCTCGCTATAAGTCATTGATCACTGCCATTACTAGTAGAAAAAAAAATCCCAGTATATATACTACCATTTGTAAATGCTATAACTTTCACGTAAACCAATTAATTTACACGTATTGGGATTTTTTGTTAGCAAAGACATGTAGCAGAATACATTTTGGCCTAAATTTATGGCAAAATTAGATTTTTAAATTTTTTTACTGGACATGTTTAAGAGCAAAAAGTCAAAAATATAGTTTTTTTTTCTCAAAATTGTCGTTTTTTTTTTTTTATTTAATAGTGAAAAAAATTAAAAACACATAGGCAATCACATGCCACAGAAAGAAAGCTCTATTTGTGGAAAAAAGGGCATACATTTCATTTGGGTGCAGCGTTGCATGACCGCGCAATTGTCAGTTAACAGCGCCATAATGCAAAAAATGACCTGGTCAGGAAGGGGGGTAAATCCTCTGGAGAGCAAGTGGTTAAGTCTCAGTTCACACTGCTATGACTTGAAAGTCGCGCGACTTACAGTATGACTTTGCCAGGCAACTTGAGTACTACTTTGAAACAACTCCGAAGCAAGTTTGAGGGAATGACTTGGTAATCTTCCTGTAATGTCGGATCCAGGGGCGGACTGACAACTTATGGGGCCCCCGGGTTATAGGGGATCATGGGGCCCCTGTGTCCTTGCCCAAGCTCAAAAAAGCCTATGAAAAAGGTACCAGGGGCATCTCATGGGGCCCCCTACTGACCCCGGGCCCTCGGGCAGTGCCCGAGTTTCGAAATGGTCAGTCCGCCCCTGGTCGGATCCAAATCACATCAATATAGATGAGGATCCCACTTGAAGGCAACTTCCATTAAAGTCTATGGGCACAAGTGGGATAGAAGCCGCCTTGAAGTAGTACAGGAACCTTTCCTAAAGTCGGAGCGACTTCAGTAGTGCTAAATAAGACAGCTCTTATGACTAACATGGGATTTCACATGTCATTCGACTTGGGGTCTTCCAAGTTGGATCCAAAGTCGCAACAGAGTGAACTGAGCCTTAGTTATACTTTAAGTATAACAAACGTATTTGTGCTGCTCAAAGCTAAATTTTATACTAGCTGAATAGCAGCTTTAAAATGTGTTCTTCACGCTATAGATTCTGTGTGCTAACAGAAATCTTCGGAGTCTTTGTACAGACACATTCTCCCAGAACCTGTGCCAGGCAAAGGAGTCATCAGCGACTGAAGATAGTTTATGACATGATCTTTTCTATGATTGTAAGCAGCAGCATTTGGTATGATACCTTTTAAAAGCAATTCATTGCTCATAGTTGCTAAGTCAAGGACTCAAAGCACATGGCCAGAAACAGGTTTCAGTTTATGCTGTAGGCCCAAAGCATCACAGAGAATATATTTTTTTTTAATTCAAAACTGTACATCTAAAAAATTACACAAGTGTTCCCTTTTAAAGTTATACTAAACCTAAAAACATTTTTTTACCTTTGCATTTTTTTTACCTTAATGCATTGCTTGCATTAAGGTGAAAAATGTTTTTACGTCCCCTGTGCTCCCCCTTCCCTGTGTGATGGGGAAGAGAGGGGAGAAGAGCTCTGTGCACAGCTGCATCTTTTCTCCCCTTCCTCTTCACACAAAGACTCCAACAGTAGCAGGAGCCATTGGCTTTTGCTGTTGTCAATCAAATGCAGTGAAGAAGAAGTGGGGGCGGGGCTAAGTCCCGCTGTGTGTGTCTATGGAGCAAGGCTCTGTAGACACACAAGTTGGGAGCGAGCATGAAGCGTTTGTCCCCATAGCAAATGGCTTGCTATGGGGCCACCCAAAGGAGAGGAGGAACCAGGATCACCAGGGGGACCCGAGAAGAGGAGGGTTGGGGCCACTCTGTGCAATACCACTGCACAGAGCAGGTGAGTATAACATGATTGTTATTTTAACAAAAAAAAAAAATTCTGCCTTAAGTAACACTTTAAAAGATAAGTTCACCTTTGGGAACATGTTACATGTTCCACCCGTTTTTAGGGTGGAACATGTAACATGTTCCCATAGCCGCAGTGGCGCCCGACGCCCCCCTCCCTCCGACAGATAATACGGGGAGAAGTTTCTCCGTACTATCTGTCAGATTTTAAAACAGCGCGGCCACGTGGGGCTCCGCACACATGGACGCGTCATTCATTCGCAGTGCATCCCGTACGGCAAGCAGATATTCTGACAGGTCTGCAGGAGACCTGCATAGCATCAGCAATCTACTGATCCCTGGTGCAATGATTTTTAGGCTCCTTTGGACAAAATATAATAAATGCACATTTTTTTTACCTGCAAAACAATTTGCATTTGTTATTGTTGTCCAAAAGGTGAACTTATCCTTTAAGTGTTTATTGATTCGTTTCAATTAAGTGTTTATTATTGATTCATACAATTCTTTTCTTATAGATTGGTCAAAGTAGGGACAAAAACAAAGTGATGATATGGAAAAACACAATGCCATGATTATTCCATACTCCTTTGTGGTGAGAAATAAGGTAAATATTGTACAAGTGTCTATGACGAGGGACAAACAAACCCTTTTGACCTGTCTGACAATGATGTCTGTAGTCACTAAGTGTGACAAAGCAGCTGCAAAGAGCTCTTCAGACCTGCTATTGATCTGTACAGTCTTTGCCACAAGATGCTTATTACAGGGAAACGCATTGGGTGGAGCTGGATTGGTGACGTCAACACACACTGGTGTGCCGGCATGTCCCTCGGCTGTGCTTTGTGTATCTGTACACCGCTTGCTATTTCTCTTACACTGTATGTGCAATAGCCATCTAATAAATGGTTTTTAATGATACTGCACTTTGAAACTTTTCCTTTTTTTCTGGTTTTAAATGTTCCTAAAGCCTAGTACACACAATCAGAAAATCATACCGCTTTCAAAGCAATCATGCAATAATCTGATCATTAGTACACAGCTTTCGTCCAAACTTTTTTGAAGGGACAAGCATGAACATTTTTGCCAGATGGTACGATTTTCATTTAACCAGTACACTTTTCATCCAAAAATACAATACAAATACATGACATCACTCCTGAATTTTTATTCTGTCATACAAGAATTTTTGTAACGTTAGTAACCTCTCCACTTTTGAAATGAGACTAGCATGCTAAAAAAAAAATGGACTCTCATATGTCTGATATTCTCATTGTGTATATGGTTTGGTTTGAACTGTGTGAACTGTTTTTTGGTGGTTGGAGTCTGGGGGCTGCTAAAGTGATTCCTGAGTGGGGACTTTGCTGCAATACACTGACGGGGGTCACAGACCCACCTGGAGTGTACACAGTGTGGATTGAAAAAGCATACTGGTACTTGATGTGAGGAAGCACTTTGGCACATTGAAGCACTTTAATGTTTTCATTCATCATTGATGAAGCACTTGGAGATTAGGTGGAGTCTGGATTATATATGTCCTTTATTGTTTTACGCATGACAAATATTTATATGATATGAATATTGATCTCTTGCTTATATTGCACAAGTATATTAGAGTTGATTATTGATTGTTGTTTATATTGCACAAGTATGTTAGAGTTGATTATTGATTGTTGTTTATATTGCTCAAGTGTATTAGAGTTGATTATTGATTGTTGTTTATATTGCACAAGTATATTAGAGTTGATTATTGATTGTTGTTTATATTACACAAGTATATTAGAGTTGATAATTGATTGTTGTTTATATTACACAAGTATATTAGAGTTGATAATTGATTGTTGTTTATATTGCACAAGTATATTAGAGTTGATTATTGATTGTTGTTTATATTGCACAAGTATATTAGAATTGATTATTGATTGTTGTTTATATTACACAAGTATATTAGAGTTGATAATTGATTGTTGTTTATATTACACAAGTATATTAGAGTTGATAATTGATTGTTGTTTATATTACACAAGTATATTAGAGTTGATAATTGATTGTTGTTTATATTGCACAAGTATATTAGAGTTGATTATTGATTGTTGTTTATATTGCACAAGTATATTAGAGTTGATTATTGATTGTTGTTTATATTGCACAAGTATATTAGAGTTGATTATTGATTGTTGTTTATATTGCACAAGTATATTAGAGTTGGTTATTGATTGTTGTTTATATTGCACAAGTATATTAGAATTGATTATTGATTGTTGTTTATATTACACAAGTATATTAGAATTAATAATTGATTGTTGTTTATATTGCACAAGTATATTAGAGTTAATTTTTGATTGTTGTTTATATTGCACAAGTTTATTTGTATTCAGAGATTTATTTGCATAATCTTAGTTTTTAAAGGGGCATGTGCACCTCTTTTGTATATTGTTCATAGTTGTTGACTCACTGAATCCAGACACAAGCCAGGTAACTAGAATTTTCAAGAGGCCATCCATCTTTTTGCACAGGGTTAAGTTTTAGGTTTAGGTTTCTCTAACATTGAAAGTATGTGTTTTACTTTTACTAGTGGCTTGGCCATTAGGCCTTGTTGCAGAGTAGAAATAACATTAAAATAAATTGGCTTCTCTTCCCTCTGGCTGGAGTCCTGCTCTTTGCAAGCATGACTCTGATTGTGTGCGAACCTCTGGCAAGTGGTTTGGAATGGAGCTGGGTGTATTTTCTTGGCTGGGTATCAGCCTTGTTGTTGTTGGTCGGATAGGGGTAAGGCATGAGGTTTCGTTGTAATAACTTGCAGTAATATTAGGCAAGGGTTAATTGCTCTGCCATGACTGCTTGCATTGTCCAGCACGGTTTCTGCCAGGCAGGGAGGGTTAAACGATGTGCGCTGATCTGCACTATGTTTGGTTACATTCCTGTGCCGAGAGTTTTCGGATGTTTATATTTAGAGCATGTGGAACTTATGAATAGGGAGAGAGACATGGAAAGAATGAGATTTCTATCTATATCTGCACATCTATCTGCCCGCTTATTTGTCTGTAGTTCTGTCCATCATCTGGCTTCAACAGTTCATCATTCTGTCCATCCTCATACAGCAACTGTCTAATCCATCTGCCAG